TAAGTTCTTTTAATCTCACTGTAATTATATGCTGAAACATGTTGGAGAAATAGTTGGAGAAAATGAGGTAAAAAGGGGCTGATGATGCCTAAAAGCGAGTTGTAGCAATTAAGTGACATGTTTTATGACCATCTTTACATAAAGCATGCACGTTCACTAAATTATAGTTCTGATTATGGAACCGCAATCTAAAGGAGCAGGCAGAGGACATCACTTGTCTTTTTAGTGAGAAATAGTAAACTATTTGTGCATGCTTCAACAGTGAAATCTCTGGCATTTAAGGTTTTATGATAAAGTAATATGATTTCTAAACATTAGTTCTCAAGTTAGTTGGAAGCCAAGTATATGTTTCTTCTTGAAAATTGACTAACCTTGAGATTCTGGATTGAGTCATACTCATATCATGAAAAGAATACGGTTTGGTATCTTTTTTTCTCCTTGAATTTTCTGAGGAGGCTCTTCTAACAGTGCTGTCTCTCTGAATAGATTCCTTGTCACGTTTGGATTTACTGTTCCAGGAGAGTTGCAAGATAATTTTGTTTTTACAACCAATTCATTCTGAAAGTGCTGTTTAAAATGGTCATTGATGTTTGAGGGAAGTATGGGAAGAACTATTTATTTGCAAATACAGAAGCCTAGGCCAGATGGATTTTTCTTTAATTCTGTGCTTATTTTTAGAGTACCGCCAGTAACAATTATATTAATTATAGCTCAGACATTCTTTCTGTTATCAATGGAATGACTTAATATATTTTGTTTGGGTAGGAAAAGAATTTGGTGATTGAAGTGGGAAACTAAAGCTTTATTTTATCCTTTTATAATGCTTTATTTTTTTGAAATTAAAAAATTTTTCACCTTTTAATATTAACATTATAGTTTTTTGTTTTTGAAAAAGAGTCTCCCTCTGTCAGCCTAGGTAGAGTGCCATGATAGAGCTCACAGCAGCCTCAAACTCTGGGACTTGAGCAGTCTTTTTGCCTTAGCCTCCCGGGTAGCTGGCAATACAGGTGTGTAAAAATATAGTTTAAAAAAAAAAAAGCATGTTTTTAAGAATAGTTTGGAGGAGATATGTTGGTAGGTCCCCTAAATCAACAGCCCAATCTATTTAGAAACACTTGAGAGTCTTTTGAGTAAGACCCCAAACCAAGACTATGGCCTCTTACTTGCCCTTCTATCTTGGACCTAAGGCAAACTCCACCAAAGTTGTTTCTTAAAAGCTCTTACTGGCTTGGTGCCCATAGCTCAGCAGTTAGGGCACCAGCCACGTGCACCGGGGCTGCTGGGTTTGAATCCAGCCTGGGCCTGCTAAACAACAATGACAGCAAAAACAAATAGCTGGGCGTTGTGGTGGATGCCTGTAGTCCCAGCTACTTGGGAGGCTGAGGCAAGAGAATCGCTTAAGCCCAAGAGTGGAGGTTGCTGTGAGCTCTGACCCCATGGTACTTTACTGAGGCAGGTACAGCAGAAAGAAAGATCTAGAGAAGACCCCGGAGCAAAACTGAAAGGGAGAGAAGAGCTGGGGCAGGTCCTGCTGAAATAGAAGAGTTTGGGTGGGAGATGGTTAAATTTTTGCCAAGAATTAAGGGGTGGAGGGGGATGGCATCTTCCCACACAGCTGCCTGGGGCACATACTCTGCTTCTTCCTTCTCTGGAAAGATTTCAGAGAAGTTCCTAAAGTTCATTGCCACCCATAGTAAATGAGGTGGGGCCGCCTAATAAAATGTGTATCCCGTAACAGCATGGCTTACAGAGCCAGACACCACTCCAGATGAGGCTGAACAGGAGCTAAAGTTGTCACCTAACAGCTGCTGCGCTGGGGCCGGCTCTTGGTCTGAGTGGTACATTCTGTGCCTTTCAAATGACTTCAGGAGCTTCTGCCACTCTGTCAACATCCACTTATTTATATTTGCCGTGTCTCTTGATTTATGGTTTGTGTCTGTTTCTTGAATTTATTTACAGACTCAAAGTTCATATTACAAAGGCACAGTTTGTAAGGCCACTCTGGGTCTTATCTTTAGTATTGTACTTAATAGGATTATTTTTTCTAAGTAGCTAAAATAGCACCTTGAAAAGCCTGGTGGTAGAGGAATTCACCATTGGTAAATATATGACTTTATTTTATGGAGAAAGTAGATAGTGAATGAATATATGAACCTCCTCCTCTTTTTTATACATTTACTAAAAAAGTACCAGTGACACGTCTTTAGTAGTAATATGTTCATTAAAATTAATTTCCACTTTCCATTTCTTTTTTTTGTTTGTTTGTTTTTAGAGACAGAGTCTCACTTTATCCCCCTCAGTAGAGTACTGTGGCATCACAGCTCACAGCAACGTCCAACTCCTGGGCTTAGGTGATTCTCTTGCCTCAGCCTCCGAAGTAGCTGGGTCTACAGGCGCCTGCCACAACACCCGGCTATTTTTTGTTGCAGTTTGGCTGGGGCAACAAACCTGCCCCAGTAGGTTTGAACCTGCCACCCTCGGTATATGGGGCTGTATTCACTGAGCCACAGGCGCCTACCCCCCTTTTTCCATTTTTTGCTCTTTATATACTTACTAAGGTCTCTTTATCAGGCGGTGCCTGTGCCTCAGTGAGTAGAGCCCCATATACCGAGGGTGGCCTGTTCTTACCCAGCCCCAACCAAACTGCAACAAAAAAATAACTGGGCGTTGTGGCAGTTGCCTGTAGTCCCAGCTACTCAGGAGGCTGAGGCAAGAGAATCGCCTAAGCCCAAAAGCCGGAGGTTGCTGTGAGCTGTGATGCCACAGCACTCTACCAAGGGTGACAAAATGAGACTCTGTCTCTAAAAAAAAAAAAGATTTCTTTCCCTCTTAGTTTTAGCAGGATGCTTGTAAAATCATTTTTTGTTCTTGTTGGGGGGGCTCTTAAATTGTGTTGTAGCTTTGTAAAGAAAGATTTAAAGGACTATTCCTTTACATATTTGCACATACCATTTTAGTGCCACTAATGTACTTCAATTTTCTCAGAACAAGGACAAAGACCATCTGAAATACATATTTTCTCTAAAAAGAATAATTACTGGCTTATTGATTTTCTTTTTTGAGATAATGGTTTCTCTGCTGTTCAGAGAATCCCAGCAGAGGACTATCTTGAGTTCTTTGGCCCTAAAAGGCCTGAGTTATAAAAAGAACTAATAGAGTCTGTAATGTTTATACACAGCACATTATCAGAGATTGCTGGCTGGAACTGAAAATCATATTAAGTATTTTGTGCTGTTATGAGACAGAGGACATTACGGGCAGTCCTCAGCTTACAGTGATCTGATACCAGTAAGTCACTGACATCCACAGTGTTAAGCCCACAATGCCTACCTATGTCATCACCTACAGCTTACAGCAAGCAGGCAACTCACAAGTTACACTTCTGTGACCACCCGACTGCTTAGGGGCCCTTGGTAAGGCCTCCTGCTTCCCAGCCTGGCTCTTTCAACTGATTCTCTTCTCCTCCTCCTGCCTGCACCGTGGAATCTTTTAGCCACTAAATATGGCAAGGGTTTTTGGTTCTATTTCTAGTAAGGGGTAGCAGGTAGGCAGGAGAAAAGTGGTCGAAGTGAGAAGTAGAAGGCAACACAGAAAGGGTGGGACTGGGGGTCTGAAGGGGGATCAAAGAGCAGAGTTTTTCTCTGGAAGGCCAGATTATAAATATTTTAGGCTTTATGACCTATTGCAACTCCTCGGTTCTGCCTCTGTAGCCCCAAAGCAGCCATGCATGACCCGCAGATTGGGGTCCCGTCTATGCTCCAGCTCACCTTTATTTACAAAAATAGGCAGTGGGCCTTTGTTCCCTAGTAAACTGGTTCTGAGAGAAATTCTAGAAGTCCTTAAAATGTTTT